GTTGGGCACGGGGGTGGCGGAGGGGCCCTCCTTTCGCCGCTGGGACTTGGGCGGTTGCTGCAACCGCGGCACCAGGAGGGGCGGGAGCACCAATACCGAAGAGCCTGGACGCGGGGGACCTCCGACCATTTCCCGCTGCGCTCACAGAAATGATCGAAGGCTGGGAGGGTGTTGAAGTCGAAGGCTTCCTCCAGGGTGGCCACTGAGGCCCGTAACCCGGCGCAGAGCGAGGCCAGGCCACAGTCCCAAAACGGATTAGCCCATCCGTCGAGGTTACTGGGGAGCCGGCCCAGAGGCATCTTAGGTAAACCTGGAAGATTGATGGCCCGGGCCGGCTCCCTTCCGGAGTGTCTGAGCCTGAAGAGGCGTCCCAATTCGACTAAGACAGGCCGGACGGAGAGAAGGGCAGGGCAGCGTGGGCGCCCCCCGGCTCCACCTCTGACGGGCACAGGGGGTGACCCCTCGCACAGCTGTGACTTCGGATAGGGAGACCCCGGGACGGAGGAAGGAGGGAGACACGGGGGGGGAACTTACCTTACACCGCAGATTGCCACCGAGGGTTGGGTCGGAGGCCCGCGGTCCGGGCCGAGGCCCCTGAGCCAGGAGGCGAGGCCTTGTGGGCTCGGACACCTCCCGGGTTTTGGCACCAAGATGTAACGTTTGGAGATACCGAAAGAGGCACAGGACAAGGGGCTGTTATAAACCGAGTGTTGATTGGGGGGAGCTCCCGGGTCAGGTCCCGTGGTCCGGAAAGATGCGCCCGGGAGGTCATGCCCAAGGAAGGGCGGCTTGGGTTTTTAAGGGTGCTGCATCTGGGGGAAATAATGGGGGTAGCAGCGGGGTGGGGAGGCAAAGTGTCCAATCATCTCTGGCCCCGTGTGGCTGTTGCTGGGGCTGCTGGTAGGGTTGTTGGCAGGTGCATCCGGCCTGGGCTGGAAAGTTCCTGTCTGGCCCTTCTTGGCAGTTGGTGGCATGTTCCCGGAGGTTTCAAGCGAGATATGCGAATGTGGGCTTGGGGCGGAGGGGCAGATGGGGGTCGCTGGGTGCTGCTTTCCTCCGAACCCAACACTCTCTGCCTCTGATAATGTCACCAACACTGCAGAATCTTAGAATAAAAGAAGGCCTGATAGTACAGGGTACTGGCTTATAAACTTGATAGAACATTCCTTTTCCACTTAACCTGAAAGACAAAGTCTGCTGTGATTTGTTAAAGTTGTGAAGAAAAATGAAAGACTAAGAGACCTACTTGAGTAGGAA